CGAAAATGAATGAACTATGAATGAACTGAGTACAAGTACTAACCCTAATTGGGTTGTACCCCTTATGGGCTACCCCACTATAGCCTACACAATAAGCACAAGCTATATGTTCTGACACACCCCCATAGGCAAAGTGGGGGAGAACAAGGGGTCACAAGACCAGTCAAGCAAATCAAAGCAAAGCAAGCTCAGGGTGGATCACAACGTCACCACACATTCCGAGCACAAGTTCAAGTCCACAAGGCCAGTTCACATGCAGGAGTACATATATATAAAGGACCAGACAAGCAAGAGCAGGTGTATATATATGCAACAGTACAAGCAAGGTCAAGAGGTGAGCAAGTGAGGCAAGACAGGCACAAGACCCAGCTGCGTGCAGAAGCGCTGATGATCACAAGGCGCAAGTGCCTTGGTGAAGACATCAGCAGTGTTGGCCTCAGAGGCCACGTACGCAAGCCGCAACTGACCACGCTGCTGTAGCTCACGAGCAAGAAAGTAGCGAAGAGCAATGTGCTTTGTTATGTGCTCCAGTCTTTGCTCTCGACACAAGGCCAGCATGGCCTTGTTGTCTACGTACAGGACTGGAGGAGAACGAGGCAACTCTCCAAGGTCGCTCAGCAGGAAGGTGAGCCAGTGAAGCTCCTGTGCAGCCATGGCCCCGGCATAGATCTCAGCCTCACAACTGGAGCCGAGAACAGAAGACGAGCGAGTAGCCCGCCACGAAATAGAGCCGGAACCAAGGCTGAAGGTGTAGCCCTGGGACGACCGCTGCGTAGCCTGGTCGTCAGCCCAAGAAGCGTCCGCGTGCCCAGTGAGGACCACTGGACTCCGCCCTCCAAGCACTAGCCCCATGCCCGATGTACTGCACAAGTAGCGCAACACCCTCTTCGCTGCAGCCATGTGCTCTGGTCGGTGTCTACCAGGAGCAACATAGCGTGCGAGAATGCTAAGAGGGTATGCAAGGTCAGGTCGTGTGCAGGTCATCAGGTACATGAGGCAGCCAACAAGCTCTGGATACGGGCCACTCGACTCTACGGACTCATCCGAAGGCAGAGCTGAGAGCGAGTGGCGAGTAGGCAGAGGAGTGGCGTGAGGCGAGGAGTACGTGAAGCCGAAGCGCTGAAGGACCTGCTGCACCATGTGTGACTGAGTTAGGGTAATGGTGCGGCGTGCTCTGTCCCGGGTGATCTGCAAGCCAAGGTAGCTGCGCAGTTCACCCAGGTCTGTGAACGTGTGTCTCTTCTGCAGCTCGGACTTCACATAGGCAAGTCCAGCAGTGTCAGCTGTGGCAAAGACCAAGTCGACGACGTACACGAGGATGTAGAACGGCGGCAGAGAGGTGTCGGTGCGCAGAAACAGCGACGGGTCGGCAGTAGAAGGAGCAAACCCAAGAGCCGCAAGCGTAGTCCTCAGTGTGTCGTGCCACTCACGTGGCGCCTGGCGGAGACCGTAGACTGGACGCCGGAGACTCCACTGGGTACCAGGAGGGAAAGACCCAGTGAAGCCAGGTGGGCGGCGCAGCCAGATCTCCTCGTGCAGGCTGCCCTGCAAGAAAGCTGTGCAGAAGTCAAGAGAGTGCAGCTCGTAGTCACGGTGAGCAGCAACGTGAAGCAGTACCCGAAGAGTGGTCATCTTCGGGGTGGGAGAGAAGGTCTGAAAGTAGTCAACTCCCTGCCGCTGATTGAAGCCACAAGCCACGTAACGCGCCTTGAAGACAGGCGGAGAACCCGGCGTCCGCTTCACCTTGAAGATCCACATGCCACTAACGATGTTCGCCCCAGGAGGGGGGACAGTGTCAACGTAGGTGCCTGTGGACTTCCAGGAAGCCATCTCTGCATCCATAGCTGCCTGCCACTGAGAGGAGTAGGGACCCTCTATCGCCTCCGCGTAAGAGCGCGGAGTCGGGATGTCAAGTGCATCCGGGTCTCCCTCAGGGGTAAGCAGTACGGACACGAGATGAGGTGAAGCAGCGGCCAACCACTAGAACTCCTCCTGCCTGTCCTCAAGGACGTCCGTGCAAAGGGCACACTCACCCCCGACGGACGGAGGACAGACAGACTCAGACTCAGCGACAAGACTAGCAGCGTAGTCTAGGCGACAGCGAGCAGCAAAGTCGACGAGCTCAGCAACTAGGGCAGACGCAGCAGTGGACTCGAAAGAAGGGTCTGTGACAACAGTAGCAAGGAGACGCGTGACAGTAGGACTGGCAGCACGAAGAGAGTCCGACTCCGGGTCGGCAAAAGCAGGAATAAAGGACTCTGGAGGAGACGGCAAAGGGGCACGCAGAGGAGCAGTGGACGGACGCAGAGACATCCGGTGCGTGCCAGGGACAGGAGGAGGACGCTGACACGAACCGCGACCACTAGTGCGAGCAGCACGAACAGGCGACGCAGGACGAGACGCAGGCTCACGACGCTCAGCAAGACCTCCAGTAGGACCAGTTTAGGGAGAAGGAGCAGGCAGTGGGGAGGACGGCTGTAACTGTAACTGTGACGGGACAGGCTGTGGACACTCTAAGGGAGGAGGAGGACCAGGAGAAGGCTGGAGACCAAGAACCTGCTGAAGGAGCGGAACGAAGTACGGCCGAGGCCGCGCGGCGACTCCAGACACAGCAGGGACAGCACCAGCACCCCTAGCAGCAGCACCAGCGCAAGGAGCACCTCCAGCTCCAGCACCTCCAGCAGCACCAGTAGTACCCCAAGCAGGACCGCCAGCAGTAGTCTCAGTTCCATCGCCCTCAGCAGTACCAGCTCCAGTCGAACCCGCAGGCCCAGCAGCTCCAGTACTCCCAGTACGAGTACCTCCGAGACTCGCGACAGCAGCACCCTCAGTAGCCGAAGAACCTCCAGCACTAGCAGCACGCCTCCAGCACCGGGCAAACCACTCGCGCAGCTCCCGTGGAGAGAGCGGCTCCCGCAGAGACGAAGTACCCGGAGAACCTCCAGGCGGAGCACCTCCAAGCTCAGCACCCCCAGGCTCAGCACACCTAGGCTCAGCACCCCCAGGCTCAGCACCCCTAGGCTCAGTACCCCCAGGCGCAGTACCCCCAGGCTCAGTACCCCCAGGCTCAGTACCCGCAGTCTCAGCACCCCCAGGCTCAGCACCCCCAGGCTCAGCACCCCTAGTGTCAGCACCCCCAGGCCCAGCACCCTCAGCAGCACCAGAGTCACCAGTAACCTCGACAGGCTCGACTGCGTCTACCTGGGACACACCTGAGGGGGACGGACCCTGAGGGGGGAGGGGGTCTACCGGAGGGGGGACCTGGTACAAAAGCAAAATCTTTTTGCAAATGCGAGTCAAGAGGCGGCTCAGGCTCTTTCTCAGGCCTGCCATTCATCCCCTTCGACAATTGTCCGCCTTCATGCCCATCAGGTCACTTGCCTACAACCAGATCATTGGAAGCTTACCTGCCAGCCTCAGCAAACTGACAGACATGCAGACCCTGTACGATGCCAGCAAAAAAATCCACATGCGCCCTTCCACTCTTGCTCCTACTTATACGATTCTCATACATTTCTATACTCTTCCACACGCTTGTTCTCCCCATCTTGTGCACTCTCATTTACACTCCTGCATCTGAAGCACAGTATTTGTGCTGGTTGTGTCCACCATTTCACATGCTTTGCTCCTATTGTTGTGCTGTCGAGAGGTGCTTCTAACTGAAGCCAGTCCAATGCAACAATTGACTCCCACTGCTTCCTCCTCCCCCCTCCTCTACATCCCACAGTATCTCCCTCGTTGCTCCTGCACCTCTTCTCTTCATCCTTGTCCCTTACCCCTCCCCCCTGCATTCCTGTTCTTCTCAAACCCAACTTCCACCCACCCATCACCTCATGCAACACTATTATTCTCATTTATTCTGATTTTACTTACACTTCTGTGTGATTAACACCCGCCTACAATGTAAACCTCCCGTTCCTTTTTTCCCGTTCCCCTGCAGCGATCTCTCTCACAACTACCTCACAGGCCCCCTGGTGAAACTCCCGCCACTCCTTCCAGCGGACTTGTCCGACAACTACCTGTCGGGTGTTGTGTCCGCACCAAACTGCCAGCGACACATCATCGCTGCCAACTGCTTTGCACCAAGCAAAGCCTGCAGTCCTGAGTTGCAGCGACCCGCAGCACAGTGCATGGCATTCTGTGGCATCTCTCCAACCACTGCTGCCTGTGGTGGTCGTGGCGTGTGCTACCCAGATGGGCCCAGCTTGGTGCCAACGTGCTCGTGTGGTGCGGGATCAGTGCGGTACGGACGAGGCGACTGTGTTCTGCCACCAGGTAAGGAATACCTGTAGTACCTTCTTACGATTTACTTGAGACTATTAAAAACTTATTTCTTTTTTACTAGAGCTGTCTCTGGTGCATTGGTTTGAATTTTCCTCAACACTTGGTTTAAAGCTAGCAACAAAAACAGAGTGGAAAACCTCAGCAAAAACGTGAAAATACATGACTATAGTGAATGTACCGCCAAACCGAACCAAAACAGGTGGGGCCGAGTTGAGCTTCAAAGACTTTGACTCCAAGCGGTAGCAGTTTGACCATATATAGCAAACCTCAAACTCCTGGTTCCACATGCTCGGTTCGGTTCGGGTAACTGCCCAGTCGTTACTCGGTTCGAGTTCAATTGCTTCTGAGGTCAGACTTGCAATATAGTCACTGGTTGAACGGACGAAACACTTTTGTGCACCATGCCTTGCCCTTCATAACCCTTTCCTCTACTTATCGTCTTTGCTACAATCTTTCCGACATTAACTTCAGTAGGTAAGCTTCATCTATTACAAGTGCAACATACACAGAGAGCAGCATATGCTCCTGATTGGCTTAGCAACCACCACCAAAGATTCGTCACTACCTCCTTTGCCCGCGTAACACTGACCACATGATATGTCCTGCTGCACCTCCCTTGCAACTCTGCAGGGCCCACGGTGAACATCCTCCCGCCATTCGCGTTTCTCACCAAGGGCACGAAGAAGGAGACAATGGGGAAGTTCATGGCGAAGCCAATGACCCTGTTTCATTACCAGCGTGGTGTTACCTCGGGATGTGGCTTGGGGTTGGCGTTCAGAGTCAACTTCACCTTCTCTCTCATGCCCCAGTTTGGTACTGCTGGGTCCAATGGCTTTGCACTTGTCATAGCAGCAAAGCCCAAGGTGGGGAAGCCTGCTGGTGTGGGGTACAGTGGATCGGGACTTCGGAGCATAGCCGTTGTCTTTGACACGCTTCCGAATGATGTGGGCGAGCAGCACGTGGGGCTGTGCATCAACGGCACAGAGGAGTGTTTGGTCAAGGAGGTGTCTCCATTCACACTGACCGATGGCGACTCATACAAGGTGTGGGTGGACTATGAGCCTGGGGATCCCGGCACCATTCATGTGTTTCTGGCCAGTTCGAATACAAAGCCAGACGAGCCACTGCTGCTGGGGAGGGTGTCGCTGTGTGCGGTGCTGCAGCCGGGAGTGAAGCAGCCGGCATTCTCGTTTGGGTTCGTTGCGTCCACCACTGTGAAGCCCTTCCAGCGGCTAGGCATTCTCTCCTCCACCGTGCAAACAGGCAAGCATATGTTTCAGGGGTAATGCATGGGAATCATGGCCACGACTAATTGAGTGAGAAAAGCGTGAAGAAAAGGTGGTGGGGGTGGTAGCTCTGGTGTTCTGCCATTGATTTTGAGTTGAACATTACAGGATAGGGCAACCACATTGGCGTTGTCAGTGTGTCATGATAGACTGGGATGTTGTGCATTGTAGATAATGACTGGCAGTGGCTAATGAGAATGATCCTGCCATTGCTACCTCTTTATGAGGTGCTCTTTGTGTGATTAACGAGTCAACCACCACCTGATGGTTGCTCTTATGACTGCTGAATCTCCCTGCAGGCATTCCTAAAGTCAAGGCCGTCCTGTTCAAAGATCAAGGTGAGCTCCCTGCCACGTGGCAGCTACAGGAGGTGCACCTCGCTTCCGTTGTCTGACATCGATAAGTTTTTAGTTATCTAGTCTGGCAATGCCATCCTGGTCCGATGCTAGAGGCAGCAAGAAACAAGCACAACCACCACCGCATGATCTAACTAGCTATTACTGTGGGTCACTAGGGGAGACTGACGGAGGCTGTGAAAAGTAGTAGAGGGTGCTTGATGGTAGAACGTTGCTCGATGCCGGTGTCCCAGGTGCAGGGGTCACGCAGTCTCTCAAATTGATTCGTGGCTCAGCCGGTGCTGTGGCATCACCAATCCAGAGATGCGACATGCGTGTTCCCAACTACTCTTCACCCATATTCCCTTTTTTTCTAACATATTTCACCCCTCACAGCCCTTGGCCTCTCGCTATCGGAGGACACATTTGCACCGTCTCGAGGCAGCCCCTTTTCGCGCTACGTGAGTTCGGATTTCGAGCTCTCGGCCACCAAGAAGGACGCGTGGAGGCTTCGTGACTTCCACACGTGGGACTCTGTGGATTTCCTTGGCTGGCATGTCAAGAACCAGCGAGACTGCAGTAAGTGGGAACGAATTTTCAGATTCTTGCACGAATTTTCTGTTCCGCTGCACTTCCGACGTTTTGCCGACTAGTTTTGGCGGCAAGCTGTACATGATAGGCTGGCATGCGATGTGCAACTGATAGAAATGAAAAACTGTAGGAACAGACCGATGTGAACATGGTATGTGCCATCAGAGACTTCTCCACACTCCTTGCATGGCTCACCTTGCTTCACCTTCGCCTTCCTCTCAGATGCGTGCTGGGCATATGCGGTGGTGGCGAGTGTGGAGGCGGCATACGGCATTGCAAAGCAGCAGAGCGCCCCTCAACTGTCAGTGGAGGCGCTCTTCGCTCTCATGGGGCTCTCCGACTCCGACAAGTGCTCCGCTGGCGGCTCCCCCACGCAGGCCCTTGAGAAGCTTGTGGCTCTCGATGCCTCCAGTGGGCTCACAGGGGACAGTGACCCGGTAGGGCAAACAGAATTAGCCGTGAGATATAGGCATGAAGCTGTACTCGCGTCAGTAATCGCGTTGGCGATATGAGAGCCGTTTGCTATTCATGACTCAACACTGTTTACTTTTCGTAGGTTATTCTAGCTTGTAGCAGAAGTGTCTTTTTCAGGAAACGAGGCCATTTTTCCCAGAGTAACCAAACTTGTAGTGTGTTTCAAACTTTATGACAGCGATTTGTTGGAGACATGTTGGGTTTTCTTTATTCTGTCCCCTTTATTCATTCACACTCCATAACGCTCTCTCTTCTTCTCCCTCCCACCCTCTACTACCCCATTCCCAATGCAAATCTCCTGGCCCATCCCAGGCAACAACGTACCCGGTGCAGTCGTTCGAGCGAGCGCGGTTCAAGGGGTATGTGGGGCTCATGATGGCAGTGCAGAACCAGCCAGTGGTGGTTCACATCCAGGCGTCTGCTGCCACGTTCGTGATGTATGATGGGGTGAGTGAACCACTTCAGCCCTCATTCAGCATGCCGTCGTGCTGTCACGTTGTGAATGGCCACCCAGAATTGATTTGAAAAAACTCAGGAATATACAGAGCTAATCTCTCCTTGAACGTCCACTTTGACTCTGGCAAAAGAACTCGTGCTTTTTGCCTTTTCTGTGGTTGGTTCTACCCCATGCCACATCAGACATACAAATACCAGGATCCTGATTGCTATACAGGAAGTCTCAACCATGTTGTACTCGTTATTGGGTACTTCATTACGAGAAATGACGGCAGCCAGAACCGCATTGCTCCTCCGTTTTGGATTATTCGCAACTCGTGGGGAGAGGAGTGGGGCGACAAGGGTCACATGCGCATGGACATTCAGGGAGGGGATGGCGTGTGTGGCATCAACGTGCTGCCTGGCATCTACCCCGTTGTCAAGAGTGAGGCATTTACCCGGTAGTTGTATTGATTGTGATGGATGGTGGAAATGAGAAAAACAGGAAGAAATATTAGATTGCTCGAAGAGATAGAAAGCATGTGTTTCCCTGGTTGAACCAAACATAACTGCTCCAACCTGTGAAGCGTTTTTGCAAGTTGGAGCATACACAAACCGAATTGCAACTCGGTTTTTGCTTGTGTCTACAGATAGGTTTGAACCATACTGAGCCCCTGTTTTGTTTGACTCAAACATGCTTGGATCAAACTGACGGAGAGTAATATTTGCCCAATTCCATCAACGTGTTTCAAGTGTATCTTCTCGTCTCCATCATTTCCCAGTTCCAGGGGACCCCTGTGGTCAAAGCAGCTACCAGGGAGATCGGCCGCAGCCCGTTATGAATCCGTGTGGCCGATTCAAATGTGGCGTGACAGCAGAGAGCACGAATAACTGCACCTGCAACATTCCTACCGCTACTGTGCAGCCTTTTGTACAGGTGGTGAATGGAGATGGCTTCACCACATGTGCTTATGGTATGTCCAGTTGCAAGTAGAGCAATGAGGTTGCACTACTGATACCACACTATGCTTGGCCTAGCCTGTGTGGCAATGAAACGCCTCCACACTTTCGAGCATTTTCAAAATGAATGTGATAAGTAGTGCAGGCCAGCAGGTATGATCGCCATGTGAATCTCAGGTCAACTTATTATGTGAACATGGTGAGCAATGCTGACGCAGCAGCACTAGCCAATGCTATTCTCATCATCATCAAGGACAGTTTTGCTATGGCGTTGACCTGGTTACTTGACTCCCCTCTCTTACTCCCCATTTCACCTCTTTCGTCTCCCCCTTTCTTTCCACTCTTCACTGCAATCTCCCCTTTCGTATCTCATATTCCCGCTCTATTCTGCCCACATATCCCCTCTCTCCTCCCCATTGCCCCATTTTCGTGTCTGTAAGAAGCCTCAGCATACTTAATGTCAACCTTTTTTGGCGGTGCAGCAAATTTTCCTACCCTTGCTTTCGTATCTTGGGCTCTTGCATTTTCTAATGCATTTACTATTTCCCAAACTTCCAACCTTTCTAAGATCCTCCTCTCAACTTCAACAAAGTTCGCACATCTACTACTTCTGCATCTCTACTCTCCTTCTCAAATCTACCCCTTATCTTGCCTCTTTCCCCATTGTCTGTTCTATCCGCCTCCCCGGTACACGTGTGGCAGTGGACGTGTGTGGGTCATACTTCAAGAACCCCTGCTACGTGGGAGCATGCATCAACGATGGCAAGGGCTCCTACTCCTGCATCTGCCCTCCCAATCACGTAGAAAGCATAACCATTTACGGCTTCCCAACCTGCGATCCAGGTGATGTTTGAGCAGCCCAAGTAGCTGCCTCCCAGAATGTCTGTGGTCTTGATTGAGTTTTTCTGTGTGCTATACCTTGTTGGCATTACGTTGAAGATCTTCTCTCTCTCTCTCTCTCTCTCTCTCTCTCTCTCTCTCTCTTTCTCTCTCTCTCTCTCTCTCTCTCTCTCTCTCTCTCTCTCTCTCTCTCTCTCTCTCTCCCTTGCCTGCATCTCACTCCCCATTCTTGCCTGCAGTTAATACCACAGCCACCACAATGACAGTCACTGGAGACAACTGGTTGTGTTCGGATGTTCATCCACTTGTTGACCTCTCACTCACTGACTTCACTGACCAAAACGCGGTGGGTGAAGAGGAGGTGACTTATACAAACCATCATTCGTATTTTCTATATCAGGTTGTTTTTACATCACTTTATCCGTTGGATCTTGCTTCAACATACCCCTGAGTTCTCTCTGCACTGCCGGTTGGTTCCCAGCAGCATGTCCTCTGTTCAGAGTATATATCCTCCTTTCACCCTTGCAGGGTCCTGTTTTAACTCGATGAGACGTTCTTTCATTCTCCTATCATTGACGTAATACTTTCAACCGTCATTGACAGGGTTTTTTTTTTGTTTTTTCCCTTTTCTTCTTTCTCGCTATGAAGTACTTTGGTATGAGAGCCTTACTTTCCTGCACCCGGTATGGAGAGGAAGACTGGCCTTTGTCGAGTTTAGTACAAACCTCTCATTCATGCATGTGTTTCCGAATGTAGGGCATCGACTGCAGCCAGCCATTGCTCAAGGGTAGTGTCCTTCAGCTGGCTAATACTCCCGACACACCCTGCACTGCCTTCTTCTACACCCTTAATGTGAGACCTCTTGCTTTCTTTCCCCAGTCAAACTATGCACACAACCAGCTGGCATAGTCATCTCAACACATAGCATCATTTCTCACTAAGCACATTGCATTATGGCACTGATCATGGAGCAAGCAACAACCATCAACATCCCTGCCTCTGCCCAACTCTCCAGGGGGACACCTGTGCATCCATGAGCAGGCAGCTCAACTTCACTGAAGCTGATCTCGCTGATCTCAACCCCGGACTTGACTGCTCCAAGCCCATCAAGGCGGGCCGCTCTGTGTGCCTCGAGCGCAGGCCAGTGCTGTAGAGAGAAAGGGCCCCCAAGGACTTGGTCTCTGGTCTCATCAAGCAGCGCAGAGGAACATCACGAGGGCAATGAGAACATCACGTGATGTTCCTCTGCACTACTTGATGAGGCCTGTCTACATACTTGGGCCAATGAGAACTGACCAGGGGAAATGGAGAGGTCACCTCTCGTCGGCACTGCATGAAGCCAGTCGCCTGCTCCGCTCCCTTTTAAACTAATCAAGCGGAGCGTGTGGCCTTTGTTGGTTCCAGGCCTGTCCACTACCGTAGACCAGGGTATGTAGACAGGCCTCATCAAGCAGCGCAGAGGAACATCACGGGGAACAGGGCAAGGCAGGAGGTTTTGCAGACGTTGGGTGTGCCGAAACGTGTGCTGCTGTTGCGACCGCAGAATCGCATGAGTGCGGCTGGGAGGAGATGTACACAGGGTCACGGGACCCTCGGCAACGCAAACATTGCCCGTTGGAAGACCTTGAGGCTGTCAAACATTATATATGTTGTGCTTGTTTAGGCTACAGTGGGTTAGCCTATAGGGGGTACACAATTCTAGGGTTAGGTACTTGTACTGATTTCACTGTTAGTTCAATCATTCCTGTTCGTTCATTTCAACATGGTATAGAGCAGGTCCTTCGCTAGGACCATTTTTTTTAGGGCCCACCACTACCTACCTAACTACCTACCTACCTACCTGCGCCCTAGGGCGCCTCGTTCTTTCACGGCCCCCTAAGGCCCCGCGACCCGCGACCCGCCCCTTAGCGACTCGCGCGCCGCCCCTTAAGGCCCCGTCGGCCCACGCGCTCGCCCCTTACGGCCCCGCGCTCACCTCCCTAGAGGCCCCCGTCGGCCCCGCGCTCGTCCTTAGCGGCCCCTTACGCCCCCCCGCTCGCCCCTAGAGGCCCCGAATGGCCTCGCGCTTGCCCTTAGCGGCCCTTTACGGCCCCGCGCTCGCCCCTAGAGGCCCCGATCGGCCCCGCGCTCGCCCCTAGAGGCCCCGATCGGTCCCGCGCTCGCCCCTAGAGGCCCCGAACGGCCCCCCCCAGAACGAGCCGCCCGACCCGAGCAGCCCGAACCGAGCCGCCCAGCCCGAACCGAGCCGCCCGAACCGAGCCGCCCAGCCCAAACCGAGCCGCGCCGCCCGAACCTAGCCGCGCCGCCCTTCCCGAGCCGCGCCGCCCTACCTGAACCAAGCCGCGCCGCCCGTACTGGACCGAGCCGCCCTACCTGAGTCGCACTGCCTTCTGTTTTTGGGGTGCCCCTACTGCTATTACTCCTACTACTGCTATGGCTAGCCCTCCTGTGCTAGCTTTCGATGCTGAGGGCCGCCCAGTGAAGTTCGAAACCTGGCTAGATGACCTACACCTCTTCCTACAGCTCACTGCCAAGGAGGAGATCTCACTGTACGATCACGCCCTAGGCCATGCTCCTGCTCCTGCTACTACTGCTGACAGCACTGCCCGCTCACAGTGGCAGACTCGTAACGCCCACGCTCGCTTCGCTATTCGCAACTCCCTGCCGATAGATGAGCGCGAGCACTTTGGGCAGCACAAGACTGCACAGGCACTGTACACTGCTGTCGTTGCCCACTACTCCTCACCGGCCTCTGCTGCACTAGGCCGTCTCTCTCTTCCCTACCTGTTCCCCGACTTAGCCTCTTTCCACACAGTTGCTGACCTCATTACGCACCTCCGCACTAGTGAGGCTCGCTTCCGCGCCACCATGCCTGATGAGTTCCTTGCCAAGAACCCACCCCCACTCTGGCTCACTCTCTACCACCTAGTCACCCGCCTCCCTGACACTCTGCGCTCAGTCAGGGACCACTTCCTAGCTCGCTGCCCCACTGAGCTCACCATTGCCCTCCTCGAGAAGGAAATGCTTGCAGCTGAGGCTAGCATAGTCGCTGTAGGTGCCTCTCGTGGCGACCCCCGTACCCCGTTCTTTGAGGGGTGTTCTCCTTCCCCCCTTCTTCCCTCTGTCGCCTCTGCTGCTGCTGTCGACCTCCTTGGTGCTGAGAAGGTCGGGACTGCGTCTGCTTCGAGCGGGCGCCGCAGCGGCAAGGGCAAAGGGGGCAAGGGCGGTGGCGGTGACAGCGGGGGAGGCGGTGGTGGGGGCGGTGGCGGCGGTGGGGGTGGTGGCACGACTGGAGGGGCTAGTGGCAGCGGTGGGGGTGGTGGCGGCAGCGGCGGGGGAGGTGGCAGGGGCGGAGGCGGTGGTGGGGGTGGCGGTGGACGCGGCGGCGGCAGGGGTTGGGGTGGTCGAGGAGGTGGCGGCGGCGGTGGTGGTCATGGAGGCGCTGGCGGTGGCCAGGGCCAGCAGCACACTCCGTCGCCCCAGGAGGTCCGTGAGTGGTACTCTCAGCACGGGGGGGGGGGGTGGCTTTAGCTGCACGTACGTCATTCGCACTGGTGACCGCACTGGTCAGCCGTGTGGGGGACCGCACGCCACACAGCGCTGCTTCGCTCGTCTCAACGACGCTTGGCGTGTTCAGTTCCCTCAGGCCACTGAGCTGCCCCGCTGGGTTGATCTCCTGAAGAAGGGGATTGATATCTATGCTCTAGACTTTGATGCTATTCTCACTGCTATGTATGTGATGTCTAGTAGTGGAGAGGGTGCTGAGTACCTGTGTGTGCCGCCCGACCCGGGCATTAGGACTAGTGCGTCTGCCGCTCCAGGTACTCGCGTGTCTGCTACCCCAGGTGCTGGTGAGGCAGCTGCTCTAGGTGCTTGTGCGTCTGCCCCCCCTGGTACTGAGTCGACGGCAGCACTGCACACCTTCACACTGGACTCCGGTGCTTCTCGCTGCTTCTTTCGTGACCGCACTGCCCTTGAGCCGCTTGCTCGGCCAGTTGCTGTCTCCCTCGCTGACCCCTCTGGGGGTCCGGTCATTGCGACCTCCTCCACTGTCCTTCCCTGTCCTGCGGTCCCGTCGGGCACACTGTCAGGTCTCCACCTCCCCTCGTTCTCTATGAACTTGGTGGCAGGTAGTGCACTCCAGGACGGGGGTGTTCACCAGTTCACCCCTGCCTACGAGCGCGTGACACACTGCACGTGTGCTCGTACGGGCCGCCACTTGGCTACCTTCACTCGGCAGCCGGGGTCGGACCTGTACACACTGACCACTGAGTCCCCTCAGGTCGCTGCGTCTGCGTCTGCGTCCGCGTCAGGTCAGCTGTCTGCCCCCTGCTCGTGTCGCTCTCTGGCGCACGAGACTGTCCTCTGGCACCACCGACTTGGCCACCCGTCTGTGCAGCGCCTTCGTGCCATGCATTCCCGGTACCTTGTCTCCGGTCTTCCCAGAGTCCTCCCTCCCCTCCCACCCTCGCCTGCTCCTCCCTGTCTTCCCTGCGTCGAGGGGCGGCAGCGCGCCGCTCCTCACTCCTCCTCGTTTCCCCCGACGATTGCTCCCTTGCAAACGCTCCACATGGACGTGTGGGGCCCAGCCCGCGTCCGTGGTCAGGGTCAGGAGAGGTACTTCCTGATAGTTGTTGACGACTACTCGCGCTACACCACGGTCTTCCCCTTGCGCACCAAGGGTGAGGTCTCTGATGTCTTGATCCCTTGGATCTGCAGAGCCCGTCTCCAGCTCAGCAAGCGTTTCCACTCGGACTTTCCTGTCCTGCGCTTGCACTCTGACAGAGGTGGTGAGTTCTCCTCCGACCTCTTGGCAGCCTACTGTGCTGAGCACGGCATTGAGCAGTCGTTCACACTTCCGGCCTCTCCACAACAGAATGGGATTGCAGAGCGCCGCATTGGCCTGGTCATGGAGGTCGCCCGTACCTCCTTGGTCCATGCGGCTGCCCCCCACTTTCTGTGGCCGTTTGCGGTCCGGTACGCTGCGCATCAGCTCAACCTCT